AATCTTAAAAGGAAGCAGCTTACCAGTTCTTCTGGTGAAATTTTTTCCCCTAAAAATACATAGTAAAATCTCTCCCTAATGGCTCCTTTTAGCAGGAAAATTAAGCAATATTAATGGACAATAATTATTCTTCATTAGAAGGTTCGAGAGCAATGGAAATCTTTTTTTTTTTCTTTCATAGTTGTCTCTTTAATCAACTATCTAGCATTACGCCAGAAAAGTGACTGCATGGGAACAGACCAATGTGGTCCTCACAAAGCTTTAAGAACCTACCTGGGTTGCCTCCAGTGTCAGGCTGGAGGCTAGCCGAGTGAAGGCGGTAACTCCGTGCGCCTGGTCCCAGGGACTCATTCCGTATGTTGGAGCAACACCAGGGTCGGTCCAGACACAAAGAGAGCTTAACAACCAAAGACTCCCCCACTTTCAGGGTACAGTGTGAGTCAGGGGCAAACGCTTGAACACTGAACCACTAAACTGCCTACAGATAAAGGACTAACGTGCTCGTTGTGTGGACAGTAAAGCCTCGGTCAGGGAACCTGTGCATTGAGGATCTACGTCACCTCTTCCCGTCATTGGAGAAGGCTGGACAAAAGAGGTAGAACTTCAATCACTTAGTGAGGACAACCCTCGGCCAGTTGGTAAAGACAGGAAACAGGGAAACAATTTTAAAGCTCACTTTTCGTGAAAGGCTTTGAAGCTTTGCGCTGGGGTTGAGCAGAGCGTGCTGGGTCTACACCACGGTAAAGGCTCCACGGTGCAGCAGACAAGTAATACCGGGCATCTGCAACGGTGGGCTCCACACTTACCTTGAAAATTATTCGCTGCAGACTTTTTTTAAAGCAAATATTAAATGCAACATCAATGCAGAAAAAAACTAAAAAGCTAATAATAGAGCTGTGCTGGCACAAACAGGGATCGGCAGAGACCACCCACCGGAGCACTGTTTCTCACTCTCCACGGTGCTGGAGAGAGACTTCAGTGCAACCCCTAGGGACCTGAAAAAGCAGAACTGAAGGACCACCATCCAGCTTAACTGACTCCCAAACATTCTCTTCTAGAATGGGGGTCCTCACACACTGAAGTATACAGATGTAAAGTTTTTTAAGTAAAAAATAAAGCATTTAAAAATATTTTATTACAAATAAAAAAAAATCTTCTGGGCTCTCAATAGTGAGAGCACCGTATTATGTAGCAAATCTTTTGTTTTACGTTTAGGGACAAAACAATTGGTTCTAAATTGTTTTAATACTTGGTGTAATGGCTATACTAGGTGAAAAAATTCTTCACAAGTTACACTGATTCAAGAAGAACCATATTCTCAGCCTCATTTATTAAATCGTCATATTAATTTTTAAAAAATTTCTTATGCTTATGGTAAATCGCCATCTTCCCTGACATCAATCACTTGTTCATGAAGACTAATCAGAAGTTGCTGTGTTTTTGTATTTTTAACAAGAGTCTTAAAAACAAAATCTATGGAAGGCGAATTAGTTTCTCACTCTTTCTAAACATCACCTTTACTTTGAAGGACAAGGTAATGTGCTGACGTGCCATCACACAAAAGGGTCAGCAAATCGGGGACATTCTTATTTTTAATAAAAGGAAAATGTGTGACTTTTCATGAGGTAACCAGTGTACTCCAACGTGGTTCAAAAGATTTTCATGATTATTCCTCATCTCACTGCAAAGTATTAAAAGGATTCTACTATTTGAGAGACTTGCTTTATTAAAGTAACCACACTGATGGTACCTGGCTATGAAGTGCAGGACGTGAACTGCAGCTCTTTGCAGCCCCTTGAAAGTACAACAACCTGTGTGATGCTGGTTTCCTCCCACACGCCAGTGGCTGAGGCTCTGCACTCCCCAGTATTCCTAACAGGGCAATCAAGGATTCGGGGGGGGGGGGCAACAATTTCGGCTACTGTGCACTGAGGCGCCCAGAGAAGTGGCAGCCAACTCACACGGCAGACTCAACATCTGTTAGACACCACGTGAACCACAAGCTCTGATCGTTCAGTTTCTGCAAGTGACAGCAGGACGTTCCTTCAAGGACATCGTATCTTTGCAAAGCTGGGTTTTCAGCAACAAAAGGCAAGCACCAGGTGAAAAATCAATGTGGAATGGGAAAAGAGGTGGCAGTGAGAGAGGCTGGGCACTGCCCAGCCCGGACCCACATCCTACAGCAAATATTTGGCAATGTCTAAAAATGAAATAGAAATATTTATTCTTTCCATTTAAAGGTATTACTTTTTCAAACAGCTACAAGGTTGTGAGGACAAAAAGACTTAAGTTGGTGAGACTTACTTATTTAATAATGGAGCAAGTCAGGTATCGCCAGGGGCACTAAGAAAATGCTACTTGGCCCCCGAGGGCCGTGGGAGCTGACAGTACTGCAGGGGAAGTGTGTGAGGAGTAGTGGGAAACAGGGGGCGGGGACCAGGAGAGCCGTGCTCCAGCCCCAACTTCGCCGTCAACCCCCAAACACTCCTCCAGTTACCCGACCATCGGCAAACCAAACACACTATGGGGCAGGCGCTCACTGGAGGCCCCAGCTTCGAGGCACTGCAGCTGGCTTGCTCTAAAGGCTTCGCGCTCTCCTCCAGGCTGGACGCTCCTGCCCATCGTGGGGGGGGCCCGTGTCCCTGACGAATCCGTAACTTTCCCAGTTCACGCCAAGTACTGTGCTAGGTGCCGAAAAGAGAAACTGAGGTACCGTTTTCAGTGATGCTCAAAAGGCAGACACTGAGGTGGCTGACTCATCTGACCAAATAAGCAGAGTTAATTTGTGCAACAACTCCCATTTCAGAATCTGCAAAGATAACAGTAGGTATGATCATTCAGATGACCATTTCAGGTCCTTTTCATATTTTTTTGGAATATCAGATGTTTGTGCCTTATTTACAAAACCATACTATCTCTGAGCAGTTGTTTGGTTACTAAATATTTTGGTTCAGTGCCCTAAAGAAACCATTTGGGAATCCTCTGGGAAACTGAAGAACTGTTTTTATGAGGAAAGTTCGTAAGTTTCAAATAATGACTTGCTTAAAAATGTAGTATACTTATGCATGTATGCGATTTCCTCAACAATTCACCATTTCAACTGTTTCAAGGGCCTTTCCAGAATGGTCTAGGACAGCAGAGGTGCCCGATCTTCTCCAAGCACTCTGTTCTTTGTTTGTTTCTACTAAGTGAGAACTCTGTTACTTTAGCGTGCATAAATCTTAAATCCAACAGGTAGAAATCATGGAGTCTCTTGCTTTGGTTAAAGAAAATAATAACAACCAGGAACAGAAAACTCCCAATTTCCCATTTTCACAAACTGACCTTATAGGAAACAGTTGATTCACTTATCTGCCCCATACTCATATTTCCTGGGTGATGATTCACCACAGGGTACAAGTTCAAAGTGACAGTTTACTTTGGAAGCAATCAGTGTACATAAGGCTATAATAGTAACACAAGATGATATAGTCTAATATCAAAACAAAACAGTACCCTTATTATTGACAGAATATGCAGATACACAAAAAATCCTGAACATTGACAAAAGCAATTACAGATACTAACAGAAAAGATGGAATGAAGGATATGTAATTTATTCTAAAATGATTATTAAGTAACATTTTCCATTAAAACAATGCAGTGGGGAGTGACAGGGGCACTTTTGTCTAATAAGAATATATTTTCTCTCAAAGCATTCAGGCTTTTTTAAAAAGATATGAATTGGGGGATAGAAGGGGTGTACACGTAGGCAGCGGTAGGCTGAGAAAAAAATGGGAAGAAGGGTATCAAGGGAATTAGATTCCAGAGATTCCTGAGGAGGAAGGGGAGTCAGTTTAGGTATTTAAATGGCTATTACATTCATTAGAAATACATGAATCTTGCCACGGCAAAAGTGGTTAAGTCATGAAATCCACAGTAAAACATTATTGTTTCCTCTGCAACAGATCCCATAAACTCAGGGGGTACTGGGGGCTTCCTGTCTCCTTCCCCTCCTGAGACATTAAGGACACAAATCTGCATCAGCAAGTCTACTGACAAAAATGTTTAAACAGCTTGCATCTCAGAAAAGCATGAACTTGCCGGCAGAAACAGGGGTCAGTCGGTTGTCTTCCGCCTGCACAGGAGTGGGGGGGAGGGGGCAAAGTTGCCTGTGAAAAACAGGCTACTTCCACAGACCTCTGGAAAGAGACCTTTTGCAGAACGGACATCTGTCAGATACACTGCAGTTCTCAAAAACAAAGTTTCTGATTTGTCTTAGAACTCAGGCAGGACAGGTGAGCACAAAGGAAATCTTTTATGACACTGGGGAACACTGGTCCACTAGCTTTGGCCAGCCAGGTTGGGCTTTTAGTTTAAGTGGTAAAGCATGAGTCACAGCCTGACTTAACCCACTGTATGTCCTGGAGGTACGGAAAAGATCTGCTGAGATAATTAATTCATTGAGGGGATGAGTAAGAGAACATTTTTATTTCTTGCCATGGCAGTCCTCCCCGACCTCTAAGCCAGGAACGTGGAAATGTGCCCATCCCACCCCATCGGTCTCTCCCAACACACCATTCCCACCCACTATTCTCAGGTCTGTGCGGACAAACACTGGCGGACACAGTTGTTGTTCAGGGGTACCTACTCCAAGTTTTCAATAAAATTGCCGAGAGTGGTAATTCCTAACAGTATTTATTAACCACCTATATGACCAGCGCTACTTTGTTTGCTTAAGTTAACTACTTGGGAATCCCACAGTTTGAAGAGCATGTCCAAACAAATTAGGTTTTTCACTAGTAACAAGTACCATTATCCTTTTTAACCCTTTAAATTTAGGGGCAACTGAAAGCAAAAACACTGGAGTCCAGCTATGATCTTTCTTGAGGGTGAGATTCGAGATCGGGGAAAAGGCTTTCTGAGTAGAAAAATACGAGCTGTAAAAGAAAAGGAGGCTGGAGTTGATGCTATAAACACCCTCTCGCCCTGATATACACAAACCTCACATAAAAACTTACTTGCCAATATTTTCAGGCAGGGACTGCAGTGAGATGTCATTTACAGAAAGACACGTCAAATTCTGTAATTCAGGAAAGCTTTCCGGCAATCTGCAACAGCAATGACAACAAAGTGTCGTTAATTGAAAAAGAAAAGTGCGGGGCGCCTGGGTGGCTCAGTCGTTAAGCGTCTGCCTTCGGCTCAGGTCATGATCCCAAGGTCCTGGGATCAAGCCCCGCATCGGGCTCCCTGCTCCGCGGGAAGCCTGCTTCTCCCTCTCCC